CACCTGCCTTGGCCAGGGTAACCTGGTAGTATTTCACCCAAATGCAAATCATGGAATGTTTCCTTTTTCATAAAGATTATTGTACCATGATTTGTTTGACACGGTGTGGATTCAGACTTGTGTGAAAATATACTTCTAAAAAAATGTAGATATATCATAAAAATCATTTGATTTCACCACTGCAAATTATCGAAGATTTAAAGGAGAGGGTACTAGTGGTCACCTCAGCCTTCATAAAATCGGGTTTTGATCGATGGAAGATGCATACTCTTTGTGATAAAAGCCTTTTTGGGCGTAGGCGATTTCCACTGTATCGAACACATCCTAAATCGAATCTCACAATCAAATTGTATATTGGATTACAAGTGTAAACGTTTTCGGTGCGTTCTATCGAAAATGATTGACGTATTTTGTCTTGATGCTTCCCGTTCAGTATTCTAAAATTATGAAATATATAAATAGGCATTATTATAGCATTCTATCATTTAACAGTGGTTTGTTCACTACAGAATAAAACGGCTTTTTATTTTATCCATGAAGTAATAACAACATACGATCGTCCTTGTTGGTTAGAATTAATTGATATTTTCTTGCATATTTAAATGATAACAGTGTTTTTATATCTATATAAGTATATGCTACACCTTATATTCACATTAAATAGTTAAGGATCATAAAATTATTTTCCGAAAGTGCTATCAACAAAAGTTTGAGGAGGTATGAAAATTCTGTAGATTCAAGTGCTGCGGAAGTTCCCGTTGAACCAAATAGTTGGTTGCACGATCCGGCAGTCAACATTGGTTTTATAGTTATAATGGACCTTATTTTATAAGCGGATTACGATTTATTTCCTGAACAAAGCAGGTTGCACTTTCATGTAGCTAAAACCAGCAGGGAGCAATGACTGGCCCCCGGTAGAGTAATTTTCAGTACGCTTATGCAATAATTCTTTATTACTATACATCAGGAATCAATTTATGCAAGTCAGAAAAACCGGTATAAATATGTGGAAAGTACAATCACAGAGTAACCACTGTTTAGAGGAAGTTCAGAGTCAACGGGAAAGTTATGCATATGTAGGAGATTATCTGGAAAGATGGTGACTTCGGAATGATGCTTAACAGTATATGAGAGAATAAGCCAGACCTTAATTGAATTCTATTACCTCTTAAACAACACTTGCAACGGGCTTATACTGTCATGCTCTAGGATGCCAAGAAAACCGGCCATCTGTCCGGCCATCGAAGTCAAAGGTATTCGTAATGTTGTGGAAGCTTGATGGCTATTTCGCCCTCTTTGAAAATCAACAGCAATGTAAAGTAATTTTGGGTCCCATTCGGAACTCGAACCAGGAGTCTTCGCGTTGCCAGTTGAAGGTCTCACCCGTTGAGGTATTTCACTCTAAAAAGTGTTTGTATACCTACCATATGCCGAAACTGTTTGAATAACTAGGTGGTTTTACGGAATCAATCCGGAATCTTGATGCTGGAAGCAATGTCTCTTTATCTCGAAATTGAATACTTTTAAAATGAAAGAAATCGCCGATTAAGACCTATCATATATATTGTACATATATGATATGCGGAAATAGCAGCTAATCCGGAGGTCGAGCGACGGTCAAACACGAAATATCTTCAGCATAAACCTGTGAGAAAAATCTTCATTCGAATTGTGAGATAACAAGACTTTCAAAAACTTCGGGTATTTTCATTGATTTATCGCACTTTTATTTCGTTTACGTTCACGTACACGTTCCTTTTAACTCGTATTTAACTACAACCTGTCATTTTTTACCGTAAAACGGATTTTTATCAATTTGTTATCTTGGTATGAATGTTTCAAGCCAAAAAACCTTCCGTCTCCCTGAAATTGTACTTCTGTTTTAGTAATCCCAGAAAATAAGTCTAACAATTTTTTTAGGAATTACTCTGATACTCAACTGAACTTTTACAATGTCTTTGCATTGTTCTAAACCTCCATCAATCCTCATCATCACGTGAAACCTCGACGTCCAAAAGTAATGCACCTTAATCGGTTTCATTTATCCACATATCATGTGATCTTTAACTGCGGTGGGTTTTTATGATGATG